GAATTATTTATAAATTTTTGGCGTCATATGAAAGATATGAATCTATTTGTAGAGTAGTAGGAGTGGTATGTAAGACAAGGTATAATAATTTAAATTTAGGTTTCAACTTCAAATTTATTTTGTTCGGCTATAGGATATTGAAAAATTGTAATTACTGTTTGCTGCAAGCGTGTGTGTGTTATAAATTTAAATTTGAATGGGTGATTGTGGTTAGTTTTATTTTTCAGATTTCGTAAATGGTGAGTGAGAATGATGAATGAATTACTTTGGGTATAATTAATCATATCACACCAAGATCTAGATCTTGTGGGATATTTTTCAATGAAATAAAAATGCCCAAGATTTGAAACGATTTTTCAAAATAGATTTTTTTGAGTTTAACCTTGCATAATATTTCCACTCAAACCTTACTCAACGAAATATTTATGTAATATTATTTTATTTTCCATTGTCACCATTTTATGTTTCTTCATCAGCACATTCACTTAAATGCGGAAGTAAATTTTCTGAACTTTAAAAAAAAGGTAAATGTCACAAATGTCATTCACCATAACATAATCATGCCAAGTCATTATTTGTTTTGTTTTTGATATGTGTTAACATGATGAGTTAACATATTTTCGCTTTATTTCCCCCCTTCATTTTCTTTATCCACAATTTCCTTTCATTTCTTCACAAAAAATATGTTCTCCAGAAAGACTAAAGTAAGATAAATCTAAATACATTTACAAAACATTATGACTTTAAATGTCCAAATAAATGTCCAATTTCTTTTAGAACATATATCGCTTGTGTTCGCGACATGTTTTGACAATTAAAAAAGTTTTTTGTCTCATTAACTACGACGACGACAAAAGAAAGCCCGTCAAAAAACGGTGCACTACCTACGTGAGTTTAAATAATTTTTGAAAATAAAAACAAAATTGTTCAACAAATGTTTAACCGTTAACAATAACATGATGGTTGGTTTTTACCCCACACTAAGTCTGACAAATGATTGTTTTGGAACATTGAAAAAGCCACAAAAGATCATGGTTTGGTTGAATATTTAAAGAGAGGATTGGAAATATAATTTGAATGTGGAACAAGTTACATTTATGATGGTCTATTTTTAGGGGACTCCACCACAGGAAATAACATACATTTTAAAGTCATCTATTAACTGCTTAAATACTTTTCTTTTTGAGTAATTTTCACATTTTGTGATCGAAATACTTGTAATTATTTACACTATTCTCGTGTGTGAATAAAAATTACGTTTTTATTTTCTAAGCACAAAAAACGTTTTTTTTTTTTTTGTAAAGATCGTGCAATGAAGTAAAAAATAATAAAAAAAATTACATTATAAGACCCAACTCTCACTAATATGACTGTATATTTCCGTTTAATACCAATCAGCTGTTTCTCCCTTATGTTTACACTGTTTATTGTACTGTACGGTGTAAATACTCATATGTAATCAGTGTAATATCGTTCATATTATTGATGTCTAATTGAAATACCTTTTATTTAAAAAAAATTATTTTGTAATCGAAAGACCACATTTTTTATTATAAGAAATTATTTTTTTCTACATATTACCCAAATTCCCATTAAAATTTATTAAAATTTACTTTTTATACCAACCAGCTGTTTCTCTGCATTCTTTACACTGTGTAATGTACTGTACAGTGTAAATACTCATATGTGATCAGTGTAATATCGTTCATGTTTTTTAATGTCCCACTGAAATGCTTTTCATTTTAAAAGAAATATTCACATTTTGTGATTAAGGGACCTATTTCCTAAAAAATTGTCAATTTTAGTCATGTTCAGAATCTAGCAATGAAAGAAAAATGTTTACGTCATAATAAATACGCTTTCAATTTAATGTTCAATATTTAAAATTGGTCTTTAACTCATTTAAAATTTGTCTTTAACTGATTTGGCGCTTCCGAACTTTGAAAAGAACATCAAAATCATCAACACTAATCTTAGATAACAGCCAATACATTAAAATTTCTGTATTATCAACTTTTGGTTGAAATGTCACAAATTGGCCATTATTACAGTTGACATATGTGTAGCGTTCACACTGTACAATATAAATGTGACAAACAGCTGATTTATTTTTTTACAAGAGAGAAAGATTATTTCTAGTTTATTATTCAATTTATTCAATTATTTGAGAGAAAAATTAATAAAAATTAAATATTTCCAGAGAAATATGAAAACCCGATTTTTTATCATTTATTAAATTATCTTCTCTTTATGTGTAGGTAATCTAATTACCCCATCCATCTATCTCTTCCATTTAACTTACAGTATCTGAGATAACAATTAAACTTGATAAGTGATAAATTGGCCGAGATTACACTTACAATTAATATGGAAGGTGGTTCACATATTGTAATATAATAAGGAGCAACAGCTGATTGATGTCATGTTGTTTTAAATTGTTATAGTTATGCGTTTAGGTAATAAATGATCGGCAGTAAGAAATGGTTTCTAAACCCTGCGATAATTTATCAACTTCTTAATTTGGTTTTCATTTTCTTTTTTATTTATCCAACTTTATCAATTATCTTCATCATGCCACATTTTCATGTGCTTGTTTCCATTTTGCATTTACCACAGGAAATTGTGGTAGACTCTAAAGATCTATGATTCTAGTTTCCCTAGCAAACAAAGTAGGAACTCTTGCAGCTTTACACGTTCTCGCCAAATTACAATTGAATTATTTTTCTCAGCTTAATGTTCGTTCCTTAGCTAACCGCAAAGCAATACAGAATTGTATGATGTTGGTCAAGAGGTTGTGGGAAATCCAATTTCGAACCTAATTTATTTTTTATAAAAATAAGAGGAAGAGGAGATAAGAAAAATAAAATAATAGAAAATAAATAAAAAAATCATTTAAATATTAACCGAAATCCCTATGGATACCAAGAAGTTAAAGAAATTGGAAATAATGTTTCATTTTTAGAAAAGTTCGTAACATCAGATTAGAATTAATTTAAACGGGGTTCCCTATCTGAACATTATGCTAAAGATGCTCGGGAAAGCTCCCCATTTTCAACATTTTATGAAATTGTGTATAATTAATTATAATTTTCTTCTGGAGGAAATCTAATATGCGATTTTTTGAAAAATAGAACATTTTATTTTTGGGTCCTTTGTAATTTATCGATCTGGTTTAACCATTCAATTTTATTTAATTTCTAATTATAGATAATGAAATTGAAAAAAAAAAACACCACTCCACTTGTTTTCGATTTCAAATTATTTACATGACAAGCGTTAGCTCCCTGAAAATATTTGAAGTTTGGCAGCCTAGAACCCCCAGTGAATACTCTGTATAATCTCACTCCCAAATCAAGACATAAATAAATAAAAAGGCAGACAGCCAACACACTGTTGGGACAGCAAATTGAAAAAAGCAACCAAAATTGAAAAAAGGGGAACATTCCTTCTGGATAGAACGCTCACTTGCTCTCCCACACATTTAAACTCCCCATTTCTTCACTTCGATTTCGGGAGAAATACGAAATATTTTCGTTGGTTGCACGTTTCATTTGTTGCGTTCAGACGATGCTTGGTTGGCCAATAACACGTTTTCATTTATTTTTTTATTTTGTTTTGAAATTGTCTGATGGTTTTTTTTATGGATTTTTTCGGTTTTGTGTTCGAAATTATTTGTGTGGATGGATGGCATGTTTTTTCTTCTCATTGAGGGGGAATTATCATTGAAGGTGGGCGGTGCTTAATAAACGAGACTTTTATTAAGCCCCGGCGCGGGCAAACATGTTTGAGTTGGAGTCGTCATAATCATCATCGTTTTTTATTTGGTGGTAAACTAAAGTGTTTTATGGCCCATTATGGTTTATGGTGGTATCCCCCATTGAAATTGTGGGGAACCCTTTTTATGAATAATAAATTTTTGTATCACAGGTAGTTTATTTAAATTAGGTATCATTTTTTATGGGATATCGATTGTGTAAACTTGTAATCAAACAAGTGAATTTGAAGGCTAAGGGGAGGACAAAGTAATAAGTTCTTTATTTTGGAAAAAAGACATAGAAAAATGTTACCTTATTATGAATCATTTGAATTAATTAATTATTTACAAGGTTACACAAAGGAATATCGAATTTTATTGCTAAGAGAGATGAAAATGTATGGAAAATTATCTCACTGCTCCCATCTCTTATCGTTAACATCAATTATTCTTGCATTTGAATTTTCATTGTCATTTAAACGACTTTTCAATATAAACTTTTAGTGGAAATGTCATAAATTGGCCGTTATTATTTCATCCATATGTAATTCCTTATGTGTGTCAAAATTAGCGGCGTACACAAAACATTTATTTTTGTGTTCAAATCGGCATATGTATTTTACATATGACATAACCTATAAACAAAAAAAAATCACTTTTATTTTTTCTTAAATCAACATCTTTTTTTATTAAACACCTACAAACGAAATAATAATTTGTAATTGTTGCCTTTTCATCCTTTTCTTTGACTTGCAATTGAAATATTTTCTTCCAACAATGTGTTTCATTCAAACAGCTGATTTCCTTATGTTTCACATACGAAAATAGAGCGCGTCCTATTCGGAAAAAAATACATATGTAATTGCATATCGTTTTGACACATTGAAATTTCCGTATGTTTCACATGACGAGTTCGATTTCCATATGCAAAAAAGTGACAGCACATCGTGTAAAAACACCATTGGCATAGTTTATAATTTATATATGTTTTTTATACGTTATAGGCTATTTTTATTATTCCCACAAAAAAAATATTGTATTCTCAAAAAGTATTCTTTTGTGTGTCCCCACCCCCTCCTTTGGAAACGTTTTTCACATTGCCATGTTAATTAAGCAACTGTTGTATGGCATTTAAACAAATATGTTTTTTGTTTGTTTGTCCGATAAATAATGAAATGAATTGATGAAGAACCGCTACCAAAATATAACACAGTATTTTTTTTACTAATGACAATTTTTTTTTTAGGATTTCAATGAACAATGCCCTTATTCATTATCGCCCGTCAGTACGAAAAGTCAAAAGCTGTTGAGGTCACCACGAAAAGCCACAAGGAAAATATCACGCATTCCCTTTAAAGTAAGTTTTATAAAATTAAAATATTTTCTTAATTTTAACAATAACTAATATTTTTAATTTATTTTCTTTTCAATTAGGTCTTAGATGCCCCTGAATTACAAGATGATTTCTATTTAAATTTAGTCGATTGGTCATCACAAAACGTATTGGCTGTTGGTTTAGGTAGTTGTGTTTACCTGTGGAGTGCCTGTACAAGTCAAGTAAGTTGAATTGTTTTTTTCTGCAAATTTTTTTTCTTAACTAATTAACTACTTAAATATTAGTTGCAAAAAAGCTAAATATTTGAAGGTTAAATATGTTTGGATTTTATTGACTTGCTTAAGTAGTTGATTTTGTTTATGTTTCTATAATCTATTTATTCTTTAAATACATTTTTAATTTATATTTTTCATATTTTTTAGGTAACACGTTTGTGTGACCTTAGCCCCGATGCCAATACCGTCACATCGGTATCATGGAATGAACGTGGCAATTTAGTTGCCGTAGGTACCCATCATGGTTATGTTACCGTATGGGATGTAGCAGCTAGTAAACAGGTATGTTTAAAATGAATTATTTTTATTTTTTAAGATTTATTCACATATCAAGGGATTTAAAATTAAAATCAAGAAAGACGAATATATCCTTTAATGTGAAAAGTTATTAACAAGGAAAGAAAGACGGCCTAGAGAGAACCTAATTATGGCTTTCATTCTATAGAAGATTTTTCTGTCTTCTGGCTGCCTTTTTAAAAAGACTGTAGAAAATTTCCAATCTTTTCGGAAAAAAACTTCTGTTGTTCTAGTTCTTCTATCTCTGAAAGATCTTTATAAAATTTTCTACAAAAACAGACCTTTAGAAGATCTCTTAAGACTGTCCAAAGCAAACCTTATTATGGTCTTCATTCTATAGAAGAATTGTAGAACATTGCCTGTCTATATTGAAGTCTTTTGATAGGTCTTTTGTATATAGGAGGATAGTAGGCGGGTTTCGGAGTTTTTTTTTTCAAAAAAGTTTCCTACTGCAGACCGTTAGAAGGATTACTTTTAGATTCCTGAAGATTTGAAATTCCCTAATAAAATTTAACCGCATTACTGTTCTCTGAAAGGTCTATATAAAATTTTCTACAACAGCAGACCTTTAGAAGGCCTCTTAAGACGGTCCAAAGCAAACCTAATTATGGTATTCATTCTATAAAAGAATTGTAGGAAATTGTCTGTCTATATTGAAGTCTTTTGATAGGTCATTTGTATATAGGCGGGTTTCAGGGTTTTTTTCAAAAAGTTTCCTACAACGGACCGTGAATGGGTTAACTTTTAGATTCCTGAAGGTTGGAATTTTCCTTATAAATTTTAACCTCATAACCGTTCTCTGAAAGACCTTTGCAAAAATTTCTACAACAGGTCTTTAGAAGGCCTCTTAAAACGGTCCAAAGCAATCCTAATTATGCCCTTCATTCTATAGAAGAATTTTAGTAGGCGGGTATCGTTTCTTTTTTTTCAAAAAAAAAAAAAAAATGGGTCTTCCATCTCTGAAATACCCAATAAAATTCCCTACAAGAACAGACCATTAGAAGGATAACTTTTGAATTCCTAAAGATTTGAAATTCCCTTCTAAAATTTAACCGCATAACCGTTCACGTTTAGATATAGACCCCTTGAAAATATCGAATTTTCTTGTGGGTGTTTTTATTTTGGTGGTCATATTTGGCCATTGAGTTCATTTAATTTTGGTATTCTTACCTTGCTTTGTCCAAAAAAGTCTAATATGGCAACGTCGTTCTTTAAAACAATTCTTTTTCATGAGCCTAAAAGTATGCTACACTTTTTAATAATTTTGATACTTTTTCTTATTTGTAAGCAAAATTTTTTTTCCCATTTTATTTACCATCTTTTCTTCCCTACCTCTCTCTTTCCAGATCAACAAATTAAATGGTCACTCTGCCCGGGTTGGTGCCTTAGCCTGGAATGGTGATATTTTATCATCCGGCTCACGTGATCGCCTCATCATTCAACGAGATACCCGAACACCAGCCCAACAATCTGAACGACGTTTGGTCGGACATCGTCAAGAGGTATGCGGTCTCAAATGGTCACCGGACAATCAATACTTGGCCAGTGGCGGCAATGACAATCGTCTCTATGTCTGGAATCAACATTCTCTCAATCCTGTGCAATCCTATACCGAACATATGGCTGCCGTTAAGGCCATTGCTTGGTCACCACATCATCATGGCTTATTGGCCAGTGGTGGTGGTACGGCAGATCGTTGCATTCGCTTTTGGAATACCCTAACGGGTCAGCCAATGCAATGTGTTGATACGGGATCACAAGTATGCAATTTGGCATGGTCGAAACATTCTTCGGAGCTGGTGTCCACCCATGGTTATTCACAAAATCAAATTTTGGTCTGGAAATATCCATCGTTGACACAAGTGGCCAAGCTGACAGGACATTCATATCGTGTTCTATACTTGGCCCTGAGTCCTGATGGTGAGGCCATTGTAACGGGGGCCGGTGATGAGACATTGCGTTTCTGGAATGTGTTCAGCAAAGCTAGAAGTCAAAAGGAAAATAAATCGGTTTTAAATTTATTTACCAATATTAGATAAACAAACAACAAAAACATAGAACACAACAAATTTCTAGTTTAAGTTAAAGAATTATGAAAATGAAAAAAAAAACAAACAAACAAAAAACTTAGAATGGCAATTATTAATGGATATAATTATAATAATACATACTAGAAAATATGACCATAAGAATTATATAAATATTTAAATTTTAAGTAGTTGTGCTTATCATATATAAAAAACATAAAACAAAAATTGAAAACAAAAAAACATACATTGTCACATTATTATCATCATCATTGTTTCTCATCATAAGCCGCCCATAAAACACAAAACAACCAACCAACCATGCCACACATCCTAACTTTAATGCAAATCACCAAAAATATATTTGTTTTATTCTATATAAGCCTGCTTAAAATAATGACTTGATATATACACACACCTAGCGCTATATATATTTGTAAAATTACTTTATTTTTTGATTTGAAAGACTATATTATATTTTTTGTTTCTTTTTCTCTATATGCTCTTTATATATTTTGTTTTCCTATTTTATTTTTTATTATTAATTTTATTTTTTCGAAAAAAAAACATTACTTTGAAATTTGTTTTCAAAATTTTATTTTGATTTGTTTAATATATTTAGAGATATATATTTTTTATGATTTGGAATATACTAAATTTTTTATTTTTTAATTTTTCTTCCTTTGTTTGAAATTTGTCATAAAAAAATACAGTGCAACAAGTTTTTAAAACAAAAAAGCGATTGATAGATGAGTTATATTGGATTTTTCTTTTTTATTTTGATCGATATTAATAGGTGAAAAATAAACGCTCTAAATAGATTCTAAATACTATGAATTACAAAACAAATTTGGAATTATTTATATTTTATAAAAGAGAGAGATTATGATGAAATTATTTTTATAAAAAAAAAAAATAATTAAAAAAAAGGTTTTAGGTCTACACGAAGACACTTCAGAATGTGCTTAGACTAGCACAAAAAGGTTATGTGTTTTGAAAACTTCCATCTCTGTTTTTTTCTATATAAAGGAGTTGCCAGATCGAAACAAAATTTCACATGTGTTCAAAAAAGAGATGGAAGTTTTCAAAACACTTAACTTTTTTCTGTTTATACCAAGCTTTTTGTGCTAGTCTAAGAACTTTCCGAACTGCCCTCGTATATTATAATTAAAACAACGATCCGTATTCTAATTCAGAGTAAAATTCTATGAACTGTCAATATGTTTGTGAGGAGCTCTACCTTCCAATTAAAGAGCTGAAATGTGGAATTCTTTTCACTTCATTTAAATCGGACGGTTCGATTTTTCGAAGGCCACACTAAAGTGATTCATGAAATAAATTAAACGAAATTATGAGCTCTTAGACCGAGTTCCTCAGTTGAACATTTTTTTCTGTAGTGGGGAACTCGATCTAATAAAGCCTACTTTAGTGTGGACAGGGACTTTGGAAAACGCGGCTATTAGATTTTATGAGGGCATGCAAAAACATAGATCTATACATTTTTCGTGATCTTCAAAATATTAAAATTTGGGAAGTTTTGTTTAATGGAGAATATGACAAAGTGTGAACCTGGGATGAACAATTGTTGTGAGCACATCTGAACCAATATTACAACCCATTTTTAAATAATATATAACAACCCAAATGAGTGTAGCTTATACTAAAGTCGCTCGGTTCTGTTTAATGGGCTGTTATGTCAAAATTTGGACCTGAATTTAAAAATATTTGTGGATATTTATTATCTACAAGAACACAATTTTAGGATCTTTAAAATACTTAAAATCGGTGAGCGTCATTATAAGGAGGACATTCAAATCATAGAACTATGTTGGAAAATAGTTGGGATCAGGTTCTTTATACCTGATATATAGGTTTAACTTTTAGAATGTCCTCCGTATAACAGTATAATCAAAATTTCGGTAGTGAGTGTTATTTGGGATTTTGGATTCTCATTTTAGATATTTAAAAGGTGTTCGATAATTTCGAACATCGCATTTTCGCAGAGAATGAAAAACGAAAGATTTCCCACAGAACATTTTTGTGGAACTATTGGTACATCTTTTGAAATAGTGTCAGTATAAAAATGAATAAAATTTTAAGTACTTTATGGTTAGGTCGAGAGGGATATTTTACACCATCACATGTCCAATAGAAGGACATATAACTAAGCCTGAGAGTGGCCTATTGTGAGCTCTAGAAAAGGAAATAGGTTAGAAGAAGTCAGCTTTAGGTGTGGTTTCCCTAAACTTGTAGGAATTCTGTTTTATTCACAGAGTCCTTCAGTCTTTTCCATTCACACCCCTTAGGTCGTCTTTTTCGCCAAAGAGAGTGATTTCCAATGAATTGGGTCCGAAAACTTGAAAACAACAACATTTCGCTGTCTTAAAAAAAGGTTTGGCGCTATTTACATCTAATGTAGGGAGGTTGCCCTCTTCTTCTTATTCGCTTCAGTTTGCCCTTGCTCCTGAATTACCTTTGATTATATTAAAGCTTTTATTTGACATCGATGTAGAAGAATGATTTATTTCTCAATCTCGAGAGCCGTCACTCGGCCTTCGGAAATAGATGGAACAAAGCTCATGTAATTTTTATAGTGGGTATTTTATGATTATGGGCTTGTCGTTCATACAACATTCTTCTTCTTTACCGGCAAAGAAAATCCGAAATTTTTGGCCGTCCAAATCAAAATTATGTTGCGAGTGCCGAACTCCTTCACAAATTTTATGATTTTTTTTATTATATTATCCTTGCTAAATGGTTGCTTCTCGGATTTTTTTGGAATTTTGGTTTCTTGCTCTGTTAGGATTATCCACGTTCACTATCAGAGCACTCAGAGAACGTTGAAAAGAGATATCTATGCTAGAGTTTAGCCTTCTTGTATTCCTCCAGAATAGTATCAGAATGATATTTGCATAATTTTCCAGAAATTACC